CTTCTTCTTCTTCTTCTTCTTCTTCTTCTTCTTCTTCTTCTTCTTCTTCTTCTTCTTCTTTTTTGGTTTTTCGAGACAGGGTTTCTCTGTGTAGCCCTGGCTGTCCTGTAGACCAGGCTGTAGACCACTCTGTAGACCAGGCTGGCCTTGAACTCAGAAATCTGCCTGCCTCTGCCTCCCAAGTGCTGGGATTAAAGGCATGCACCACCACTGCCTGGCGAAACTTGACTTTCTTATAATCAGGATGCATTTACATAGTGAACCTGAGTCACATGACAGTGGCCATTTTAGAGTCTGATGTTGTCTCTGATGCTTTACTAGTATCTCTAAGGCCAAAGCAAAGCCACAGCAGCTGTCTCCACAGAAGGGAAGAAAAGGAGGGAGAAAAGGAGGGGGGCAGCCTTACTGTGAAGATAGCTCTGTACCCAATATCACCACTCTCTCCTCTTCCCCTGCTAGTGTTTTCCATGAAATCACATTATTTTTCTAAACATTTTTTTTTAATTTTATTTTTTAAATGTTTATTTATTTATTTTATTTATTATATGTAAGTACACTGTAGCTGTCTTCAGACACACATCCATATGAGGGCATCAGATCTCATTGCAGATGGTTGTGAGCCACCATGTGGTTGCTGGGATTTGAACTCATGACCTCTAGGAGAGCAGTCAGTGCTCTTAACCACTGAGCCATCTCACCAGCCCCTTTTCTAAACATTTTTAACTCAAAAATATATAAAATCATTGTGTTCAATACTGTTTATCACAGATTAGTTTTCTTAACATAAATAGAAGTTTTTATATGTATTCTGAAACCGATGAAACAAAAGGATATAGCATTTTTAGAGTGGACACCCAACAGCAAAGTTACACAGTGCCACCATGACCAATTTCTATCCTAAGATGTCAGTGAGTATGACAGTATTGCATTTAACGAGATCAAATGTAAGGATGTGTGGGACCAATGGCTTCAGGGGTGAGACTGAGTATCATCACGATGATAAAGCCCAGCATAGCTGATGCATGACCCTCACTTGGCATCAGCACATTCTACCAACCACAGGTTCAAGTTTTAACAATCCCGTGTGTGCTAAACATGTACAGACATTTCCTGCTCCTCTTCCTCCTCATTATTCTCAGAAGAATGTAACACTTTTTTTTTTTCAAGCATGGCAATAGGCATTGCAGGCAAAGGAGAGATGATTTAAAGTGTATATAGGATGTGTGGGGTCCGGGGCAAGCTTTACTGCGACACTTTATATTATAGAGTAAAGGATTCTCTAGTGTTTATAGCAGCAGCAGATCCTAGACGCAACTGTCATAGATGTCAACGGACAACTGTACACAGCTTGCTTTGCTGTAGGTTCACAGGAAGAGGAGGAGGAAAAGGAAGAGGAAGATCAAAAATAGTATTTTATAAACTTACCAAACTTTTCTGATGTTTCCTTATCTGGGAATTGTTGGCATTTAAGATTCAATATCTTCAAATAAACAAAATTTGGCAAAACGTTGACTAGGAAAGGAAAAATAAAGTTAAGTCAGATACATTTCCTATGACACCAAGTATTTCAAAATGGTGAAAGGTGATATAGTATTCAGACTGAATCACTATGACTAAGGAGAGGACACAACTTTGCAAATGAAACATGTAAACTATAGTTTATGTGTAAATTGTACTTTATGTGTAACCTGTAGTTTATGTGTAAACTGTAGTTTACTGGTTGTAGCCCATTCACTCTTATCAGAGCCTCGCTGAGGATCAGGTGTCCTCACAGTTCCCATGACATCACTGGCCTTTAATTCTCAAATATTTAATGACCATGCACAGGAGCATCTGAAGTCAAAGCTGTACAGTTCTTACCAAAGGACATGGCTTCAAAGCATCGTCCAGAAAATTCAATCTCTCTGAGTTTCTTGCAGGAAGCAAGCACAGCCATGAGAGATTCACAATTCGAAAGGAAATCACATTTCAGATGGAAAACATGGAGATTTGGAGAGTTCTGAATCAATTTAACTGGAAAAGATGAAGGATGGTCAGAGATTAGAGATGGCCACAAATTCCTGTCAAAATGGAACCCTCAATCCATCGGCTGCAGCCATACTGATTAAACAGTCAGTGATGCAGTATCTAGGTGTGAGACTGCATTGGGCTTGGGCTTGGCTTCTGCAACTGACTAGTGGGCAGATGATCTGGGACAAGTTCCTCACACTCTTTGGATCAGGTTTCTGTTCTGAATTTCACTTTCAGTGTCAGCATTGTAACATCTCTGTGTTTACACATTGCACTGACACATAAGAACTCTGTACAGAGTAACATCAAAGGGAGAACAAGTCTGAAGCACAACTTAAAAATGTTTTTAAATTAAATTATTTATTTTATGTGTGTGTGTGTGTGTGTGTGTGTGTGCATGTGTACATGGGAGAACACAAAAGTGCCATAACACATATGTATTGATCAGAGGACAACTTTGGAGAAATCTGTTTTATCCTTTTGCCATGGGATCCCACAGATCCAACCTAAGTTATTGGGCTTGGCAGCAGACATCCACTGAGGAATCTTCTTGGTCAGAAAAGGTTTGATTGGTTGGTTTTTTTTCTGTAGGTCATATAAGTGTGGAAATGACATAGTTCGGCTGGCTTTAAAGTTGTGACAATCAGGTATCCTCTCAAGTGCTGGGATTATAAGCAGGAGCCACCGTGTCACACCACAGTGACTTTTTGGCATGCAAATCTGCCACGTCAGTCCCCAGTTTACATTTCTCCAGTGACCGTGTTTTAAAAATTAGAATCTGGTGGTATTTAGTCATTTTGCTAAATGACATGTTCTAGAAAAATGGCTGCACAGCTGTCAGGCAACAGGAGGCTGGGATGGAGACAAATGGAGAAAAGGTCCAGCCTGCTCCCAGTCAGATTCCTTCTCCCAAGCTGGCAGATCTGCATGAGGGATTAAAACAGCAGCAGAAGAGAATTCCTCACACTGCTGTGGAGAGGAAGGGTTAGGAGTGGACAGCTCAGGCTATGGAGTCAAATTTTCTGTTTGAAGATACATTTTCTTAGCTGGATAGAGCTGAGCAGCCAATGACCTCAGTTTCCCCAGTTGACAATCAGCAATAATTCTTACGCCTTCTCTCATAAAGTGGGTACGAGGAGTGAGCTAGTATCTGTGATGTGCTTAGAACAATTCCTGGCATGCTAAAGACTTGGGTTAGAAATAAATCTCTGCCCTCTTAAAGATGAAGAGCACTGATCTCACCCCTTCCCATGGACACAGTTCATGCTGTCAGACACAGGGAAGATTAACTAATGGTTCTAACAATTACTAGCCAAGTAGCTTTTCTAGTTAAGACATGAACTGGAGATCCAAGCACCATCCTTACCTAGTTTGGAGAGGTCAGACTCCGTGGAGGTTTGGATGGATAACTTCTCCATGTGATGGAGGTTTGGGAACTCTCCAGGAAGCACTGAGAGCACATCCTGTTTGCCATCTAGTCTCACACAAAGTTCTTTCAGGCCCAGGAACTTGTCCAAGTTAGGGAAGAGCTGATCTGGAAAGCAACACATAGTTCCCATCACCCAAGAGCCCCAAGTGCAAGTTCTCAAGGTGCTGTGATCTTCAGCCATAGTCATACTTCCAAGATGAAACTTCAAAGCATACTAACATCTGTTTAGGAAGCACATCCATGAAGATACTGCCAGCTGCAGCATCTGCTGACCAGAGGCTGTAGAGGAAGCCCTGTGCTGGTCTCTAGACTCACAAAAATAACTGACATCTCCCTAACCAACAGCGTGGGAACACTAATTTTGCACATGCAAAAGCTGGACTCCTGCTTCCAACTCATAAAGGATAAAAATTGGATTAATGACATATGTATGACCTAAAACCATAGAACTCTTACAAGAATATGGGTAATGTTCAGGACTTTGGACTTTACAATGGATCCTTAGATATGCTATAAAAAGCAGTAGCAATATATATATATATATATCTCATCAAAATTAACAATTATTCATGTATCAGTCTAAAAAGGTGAAATGACAACATACAGAATTGGGAGAATTTTTTTTTCAAACAATGTGTCTGATAAAAGTTTTGATGGATTTATTTTTGTTAAGCTGTGGATGGGCCTTGCACATGGTAGGCAAATGCTTTCCCAGCAAGATACCTCACCTATAACCTAAGAGTTTAATGCCAACAATATGCAAAGAACTCCTACATCAGAACAATTTTGTTTTATTTGAGAAAGGGTCTTACTCTATTCCCCAGGTTGGTCGAGAACTCATTACGTAGAGTTGGCCTTAGTTAGACTCATGGCAATCCTCCTACCTCAGCCTCTTGAGCATATAAATTAAAAGTTCAACCCACCACGCATCATCAAATCTTTCAGATTACAAGGAATTTAAATAGACATTTCTCAAAAAAAAAAAAAAAGCCATTATGAGCAGTTGAGAATATGTTCAGTTTCATTCAGTCACCAGGAGAATGTAAATCCCGGCCACAGGAGAGAACACTGACTGGGTAGAGTATGTTTATGAAGAGGCAAAGAGAAAAATAAACCTAAAGGAGATGTGGAAAAGGTAGAGACTTGCACATTGTTGGTGGGGAGGTGAATTGGAGTAGCCACCTTGAAACACACTTGGGAGGTTCCTTTAAGGTTAAATGTAGGGGGAGGGGCTGATAGTAAGGTCTAGTTCCCTAATTGGTTCTTGATTTGGTCAATAAAGAAAGTGGGAGCCAATTGCTGGGCAAAGAGTAAGGGTGGGACTTCCAGGTCCCAGGAGGAAATTCAGACACAGGGAAAGTAATGAAGTACTTTTCTGCCAGGCTTTGGAATGAGAAGCCTGCAACAACCATGGAGGTAGCTTGAACCAGTGGCCTCTGCCACAGGTGGGTGGTTGACATAGGCTAGCTGATAAGGTTAGGGCAGGAGGAGATTCTGCACCCAGAAATTGTGTTATTGGGCAAATTCAAAGATAATAAAGCTGTCTGAATGTGTTTCTTCCACAGAGCAAAGGTGGGCAGAGATAGAGAGAAGGTGGGTTGTTGATGGTGGCTTGGAGAAGCTAAGCCAGGAAGGGCTGGGAAAGGTGATAGTTGGCAGAGCAAAGTCAAGAAGAATGGACGAGTCTGGTGTGGGACTGGTGGCAGCTTATCTCAGAGGTAAGCTGAGGTAGCAAGGGCTGCGGTCCCAGAAAAGTCCGTAGTGTGTTTTTAAAATTACATGTAATAGTTAAACTCAAAGAAGATATGGTGAGGGATGGAGAGATGGCAGTGAAGAGCACTGACTGCTCTTCCAGAGATCCTGAGTTCAATTCCCAGCAACTACATGGTGGTTCACAATCATCTGTAGTGGGGATCGGATGCCTTCTTCTGGTGTATGTCTGAATAAATAAATCTTTAAAAAAATGTGCTGGCTCACAGATGTCACCCCAGTGACTGGGAGGATGAGAAAGGAAGGTTACCATGAGCTCAAGGCTAGCCTATGTTACAAAGTAAGTTCCACGGTAGCCTAGGCTATAGAATGAGACCCTGTCTCAAAACATTAGAATGGCTACAGGGAAACAAGCAAATCTGCTACTTCTAGACCTATATCCAAACCAGCTGACATCAGGGATCAAAGTGACACTTGTAACACAAATGATCATGACAGCATTCCCCATAGTACTGGGAAGACGAGATGGAAATCACTAGTGTTTGTAAAGCGTGAAGTGATGAGCAAAATGTAGAACTACAACCCACCGTGCCTCGTCAGCTCTCTCAGATCACAAAGAATCTGCATAGACATTACTCCAAAAAAGTGACATATATGCACACAACATAATATTACTGACTCTGGAAGTCCTGATGCTCCCACCCCTACCTCCTGAGTGCTCAGACTGTGCACACGTATAACCGTGCACACTTTAAGCAGTGCTGGGACTTGAACACAGAGCTTCGAATATTCTACCCAAAAAGAACATCCCTGGTCCTGCTTGCTCTCTATTTTCCATGATCTGTGGGAGGATATTTATTAGCAAAGACGCTGGAGCGTGCCTGTAAACTGGCACTCAGGAAGTGGCATCAGGAGGCTCAGGCAGTTCAGGTCAAAGACACAATGAGTTCAAAGTCAGACTAAACTACATGAAACCCTCTCCTAAGAGTCACGTATGGCACAGGGACATGGCTCAGTGAGAAAAGCACTTGTCCCAAGCCTACCAACCTCATTTTAACCTCAAAGCTCCGTGATGGAAGGAAAGAATGCGTTTCTGAGGTTGCCCATACCCATACCTAAGGTGTGGCATGGTCATGTGACCACACACACATTTGCAAACACACGCACACAAACACACACACACGCACAAAAATTAAAACACACAACTGTAAACAAGAAAAGCATTCCTACACATGCAGCAGCTAAAGACAAAAGCTTGCCTAGTTATAATTATGAAATTAAAAAAAATTACATTGCTATCAAAACACGTAAATAACGATACACAAATTTAATGAAGGTCAGATAAAGTCTGTACTAAAAGCCATCACATATTACTTAAGGAAAGACAAAACTAATAGATATTTTTCCTAGCTGGTTTCTGTCAACTTGAAATAAGCCAGAGTTATCAGGGCAGAGGATCCTAAGTTTAGGATGCCTGTAGGGAAGTCTGCATTGTTTTGATTAATGGTTGATGAGGGAGGGCCCAGCTCAGTGGGGGTGATGACGCCAACCCTGGGCAGGAGGTTGGGGATTGAATAGGAAGACAGTTATTCCAAGGAAATAAGTAGCCGTGGGAAAGGAAGCTACACTCCTCTCTGGTCTTGTCTACAGTTCCTGCCATGAACTCATAGACTGTGTGACATGGGAGTTGTAAGGTATGATATACATGGTTGTACCCAAGTTGTTGGTTAGAATGTTTTATTACAGCAACAGAAACATAAGTAAGAGTATGTCATTCTCGCTTTTTAATTCTTCTTCTAGAGAAGCTAAACTTCCTCTTCTATCTGACAACCAGAGAGGGGATAATTCTCCAGCATCATCTTACACACAGTCCACCACTTACTAATAACAATTCAAGTGCCCTTAAAAGCTCTTCAAGCAATGATGTTAGTATTAAGCGAAATTTGTGTGAATTATATGAAAGTCAGTCTAAAATGCAGGGCCTTATATTGATTTATACACTGCCCCAAACAGTGAAAGTGTTTAGATCTCTCCTATTAAGGCACATTTATAAAGAGATGAAACTGAGACATTTCATTCATCTACGCTAAGAATGAGAAAACACCATGTGAAGCAGAATGGTTATGTGGACACACTTGGAGATACCTGGTAACTGGTTTGTCCCTGAGACCTCAAGAGACTGCAGGGCAGGCAGGCTGAGAAGCAGCTCCTGTTCTTTTCTGCTGAGCTCTGTCTTGGACATGGAGCACTTGGTGACAGAGATCTTATTCAGCTCCAGAGCTGGGTGGATGCTTTCAAGAAAGCCACTGCTGTTGAATAAACGGAACTCAATACTCTCTGAAGCTGAGAAGACTTCCATTAGGACCTGGAGCAGAGCTTGGTCTGCTGGACCCATGTAGGCCACACCAACTTCCAGTCTAGGAATCTTGTACGGCTTGGGGGACAGTTTCCAATAGCCAGTACTAATACTTATTGGGATCTGGTGTTTCATATCCTTATAGTTCTTTATTATGTCTTCATTTTTGGCTAAATTTTTCTGACATTCATTCATAGGTTGAAAGGCAAAGGCATAGTCCTGATCTATAGTTGGTGGCTGTACTTTTTCAAAAGATTTTTCCATGAGTGAAAAATCTATTCTCTGTACCTTGTTGTTTCCATTTAATGAGAAACTAATACTCTTCAATAATAACAGGGTTTGTGGGTGGTCCTCAAAGTACTGTAAATTCAGGACTTCCAAAGCCAGTGTTCTCCCTTGAAGGAACTGCAGAATAACAGGAGAGCATGCAGCAACCGTGTTGCTTTCATAAGCAAAGTTTAGAGCAATGCTCAATAATTTTTCTGAAATGAACAAAGAGAAAGATTCAGGAGACAGCTGCCACAACCCTCTAAGAGACTGAATCCACAGTAAAGTTTCTGGATGAAGCTTCATGTGATCCTCATTTTCAGACATGTTCTCCAGTGACTCTTTCTCATCCATCAACTGAAGCAAATAAGATACAACCTTTGGACCAGCCCTTAAAGAAGGATGACTGGAGACATACTTCAAAAAATTGTTGTAGATGGTCATAGCCTTCAGAGGTGAGTTAATTTGTCTCAGAAAATAAAGTCCCAGGTCTTGGTCTTCCTGCCTATCTGAACCCAGGAGTTCAGTCAGCCTCATGGCAGCAAGAAACTCTTGGAACAGAGGACTTAAAAACCGGTAGACGGGTCTCAGTCTCTGGGCAGTGAATTTGCTCATCAAGCAGGTGGTGAGCTCCTCGTCTTCATCAACTCCTGCCTCTGCCAGGTCATCACTGTTGAACTCAAAGCACGAAGAGAAAAGCCCTGTCAAGGCCAGCTGCCCACACGAGGACTTGGTGACCCGGAGAGGCTCAGCTGTCGCTTTGTTCTTTAAGGACAGGTATTGCATGTAGGACTTGAAAAGAGTCACATCCTGAAAGGGCTGGTCAGATGGATTTTGAATCCACTCAGTACAGACTGATACCACAAAAAGGGGGGTTTTGTGAATTCCCAGTAAATATTCATGAAATCCAAAGTAATTTATAAACCTTCGCACACGCAGTATGTTATGTGAGAAGAACTTCTTTAATATATAGACAGTGTTATAGAAGGGAAACTCTTTGATCTCTAGACTTGTATCTAGGTAAGGGCGGACCTCCCTGACTCTGTTGGTATGCACAGCAATCAATAAGCAGGTCCGTGACAAGTAGTTCTTTGTAATCAGTGTGTCCAGGGCTTGGGGGAGTGAGGTCAGCCCACTGAAGTCATCCAACAGGAACAGCACCTGGTGTTGTAACTGCTGGATGCTGCTGCTCAGACACACTTCACTAATGCAGCCTCCTGCCTCTAGGAGTTGGCCACAGATGATGTTGGCCAGTCCCTGGTCTGGTCTGATGGAACTAAGGGAGAGGTAGAAGACCAGCTGGAACCTGTTCAACAGGGGACAGCATCCTGATGCCCAGAGAAAAGCTATTCTCTTCAGGAAGGTTGTCTTTCCACTGCCAGTTTCCCCTTCCACACACGTGACAGAACTGAGATTGACAAAGACCTCGGGGATGGTCAGGGCCCCTTGCACTGGCCGGCTGATGTGCTTTGAAATGATGGACACATCACAGCCAAGCAAGTGGTCAGTGCCGAGGCTCGAACACACCTCTGGCAGGTTCATGTGGCGGAAAGTGGCTTTTGTGTAGGCGCCTCTCAGCTGCTCACTCAGACTTCTGGCCTCTTGAAACCACTGGGCCTTACTTGGAGACAAGTCTGTGGAGGGAAGATAGGCCTCATTGGATGCATATCCAAGTCCTTGGGCCTCACTCTGATCCTGGTCTCTACAGAGAACAGACACAAAGCTAGATGCAGGATCAAGTTCCTGGGCTTCACTTGGAACAACATCTGTGAAGGGAGGAAAGAAAACTCAGTCGGAAATGCATTCAAACCTCTCAGCCCCTAGGCTATGCTACATTCTTGTGGCTCTCAACTATGGATGGCTTTTCCTCCAGTGTCCATGACCTCCACTTTGAGGTCCTCCCAGACCTTTTCACACCATTAGAATGACATGCAAGCCTAGTTCTTGACCTGGGGGATTAGGCAGTATTCTGAAGAATACTCTGTCACCCTAGTTTCCCATCTAAGCCCTCAGAAGAGAAGCTTGCTGTGCGGTTCCTTTAATGTTGTCTGGTTTGGGTCTGACACAAGGACTCTGTTATTAGTCCTGCATTCACTCACAGGAAGCCACAGGGATGTTCACTCTCTCATCCACAGTTCCCTTCATCTCAGTGCTCTCCTCTCTAGCAGCTCCTGGACAATTATTAATACACTTTCCTTTCAAATCCTATGTACAAATTCCCATAATCTCATTCAGCTTTCCAGTGCTTACCTGTCACAGTAGAATGAACTGCTACTGGATCCTCATGGTTGCTTTCACTTGTGGTTTCCTTTGAAAGATTAATTCTTTATTACATCAAAACTGGGTCTTAAATCAAGATCAGGCACCCTTCCGCCCCTCCCTTGGCACTTTGGGCTGGGGCAGACACCTAGCTTGTCTTCTCCTGTGAAGACACCTTATCCTGAGCCATCCTAGAGGAGCCACTGCACTCAGAGCAGTGGGTAAGAACCTTCTTCCACTACCCTATGCCCCAGAGCTATAATTGGGAGCTGAGGGAGCTCAGGACCCATTAGTCACCCAAACCCCACCTCTCTGGAATACCACTGCCCTTCTGCCCCTCTCTTGGTCCTTTGGGTTGGGGCAGACACCTAGTTGGTCTGCTCATCTGAAGACACAGAATCCTGAGCCATTCTAGAGGAGTCACTATACTCAGAGCAGTGAACACCTAGCTGGTCTGCTCCTGTGAAAACACCATATCCTGAGCCATCCTAGAGGAACCACTGCACTCAGAGCAGCAGAATTTCAGGATCCCAGGGGCGACCTGAGTCCCAGGAGATCTTCTACCCAGAAGCTCAGGATCACAGAGATATCTGAACTCTGAGGAGTTCTGACAAGAGCAAGATAACTGGAAAGACAGGCTCCAATCAGAGACACTGAGTTCAGGTAGCACTAGAGTTAACCAGATGGCGAAAGGCAAGCTCATGAACATAAGCAACAGAAACCAAAGTTACTTGGCATCATCAGAGCCCAGTTCTCCCACCATAACAAGCCCTGGACACCCTATCACACCAGAAAAGCAGGATTCAGAATTAAAATCACTTCTCATGATGATGATAGAGGACTTTAAGAAGGACATAAATAACTCCCTTAAAGAAGTACAGGAGAACACACGTAAACAGGTAGAAGTTCTTAAAGAGGAAACACAAAAATCTCTTAAAAGAATTGCAAGAAAACACAACCAAACAAGTGACAGAATTAAACAAAACCATCCAGGACCTAAAAATGGAAGTAGAAACAATAAAGAAACCTCAAAGAGAGACTACTCTGGAAATAGAAAACCTAGGAAAGAGATCAGGAGTCATAGATGCAAGCATCACCAATAGAATACAAGAAATAGAAGAGAGAATCTCATCTGCAGAAGATACCATGGAAAACATTGACACAACTGTCAAAGAAAATGCAAAATGCAAAAAGCTCCTAACTCAAAACATCCAGGAAATCCAGGACACAATGAGAAGACCAAACCTAAGGATAATAGGTGTAGATGAGAGTGAAGATTCCCAACTTAAAGGACCAGTAAATATCTTCAACAAAATTATAGATGAAAACTTCCCTAACCTAAAAAAAGAGATGTCCATGAACATACAAGAAGCCTACAGAACTGCAAATAGACTAGACCAGAAAAGAAGTATCTCCGGTCACATAATAATCAAAACATCAAATGCACAAAACAAAGAAAAATATTAAAAGCAGTAAGGGAAAAAGATCAAGTAACACATAAAGACAGACCTATAAGAATTACACCAGACTTCTCACTAGAGACGATAAAAGCTAGAAGATCCTGGACTGATATCATACAGACCCTAAGAGAACACAAATGCCAGCCCAGACTACTATAGCCAGCAAAACTCTCAATCACTATAGATGGTGAAACCAAGATATTCCATGACAAAACCAAATTTACACAATATCTTCCCACAAATCCACCACTTCAAAGGATAATTGATGAAAAACTCCAACACAAGGAGGGAAACTACAACCTAGAAAAAGCAAGGAAGTAATCTTCCAACAACCCCAAAAGAAGATAGCTGCACAAACATAATTCCACCTCTAATAACAAAAATAACAGGAAGCAACAATCATTTTTCCTTAATATCTCTTAACATCAATGGACTCAATTCTCCAATAAAAAGATGAAGACTGTCAGACTGGATACATAAGCAGGACCCAGAATTTTGCTTCATACAGGAAACTCACCTCAGTGACAAAGACATACACTACCTCAGAGTAAAAGGATGGAAAACAATTTTTTAAACAAATAGTCCCAAGAAACAAGCTGACATAGCCATTCTAATATCAAATAAAATTAACTTTCAACCAAAAGTAATCAAAAAAGATAAAGAAGGACACTTCATACTCGTCAAAGGATAAATCTACCAAGGTGAACTCTCAATTCTGAACATCTATGCTCCAAATGCAAGGGGACCCACATACATAAAAGAAACTTTACTAAAGCTCAAAGCACACATTGAACCTCACACAATAATAGTGGGGGATTTCAACATCGCACTCTCAGCAATGGACAGATCATGGAAACAGAAACTAAACAGAGACACAGTGAAACTAACAGACGTTATGAACCAAATGGATTTAACAGATATCTAAAGAACATATCATCCTAAAACAAAAGAATATACCTTTTTCTCAGCACCTCATGATACCTTCTCTAAAATAGACCATATACTTGGTCACAAAACAGGCCTCAACAGATACAAAAAGATTGAAATAATCCCTTGCACCCTATCAGATCACCACAGACTAAGGCTGGTCTTTAATAATGACAAAAACAATGGAAAGCCCATATACACGTGGAAACTGAACAACACTCTACTCAATGATGACTTGGTTAAGGAAGAAATAAAGAAAGAAATTAAAGACTTTTTAGAATTTAATGAAAATAAGGACACATCATACCAAAACTTGTGGGACTCGATGAAAGCAGTGCTAAGAGGAAAACTCATAGCTCTAAGTGCCTACAAAAAGAAACTGGTGAGAGCATACACTAACAACTTGACAGCATAATTGAAAGTTCTAGAACAAAAAGAAGCAAATACACCCAAGAGGAGTAGACTGAAGGAAATAATCAAACTCAGGGGTGAAACCAACCAAGCAGAGACAGAAAGACTATGCAAAACATCAACAAAACCAGGAGCTGGTTCTTTGAGAAAATCAACAAGATAGATAAACCCTTAGCCAGACTAACCAGAGGGCACAGAGTATCCAAATTAATAAAATTAGAACTGAAAAGGGGGGCTGGAGAGATGGCTCAGTGGTTAAGAGCACTGACTGCACTTCCAGAGGTCCTGAGTTCAAATCCCAGCAACCACATGGTGGCTCACAACCATCTGTAATGAGATCTGATGCCCTCTTCTGGTGTGTCTGAAGACAGCTACAGTGTGTATCCATATATAAAAAATAAATCTTAAAAAAAAAAAAAAGAAAAGGAAGCCTTTTTATTAAAAAAAAAAAAAGAACTGAAAAGGGAGATATAACAACAGAAACTGAAGAAATTTAAAAAAAAATCATCAGATCCTTCTACAAAGGCCTATACTCAACAAAACTGGAAAATCTGGATAAAATGCACAATTTTTAAGACAGATACCAGGTACCAAACTTAAGTCAGGAGCAAATAAACCCTCTAAACAGTCCCATTACCCCTAAAGAAATACCAGCAGCCATTAAAAGTCTCCCCACCAAAAAAAAAGCCCAGGACCAGATGGCTTTAGTGCAGAATTCTATCAGACCTTCAAGGAAGACCTAATATCAATTCTCTTCAAACTATTCCACAAAATAGAAACAGAAGGAACACTACCTAGTTCGTTCTATGAAGCTACAACCACGCTCATACCTAAACCTCACAAAGACCCAACAAAGAAAGAGAACTTCAGATCAATCTCTGTTATGAATATTGATGCAAAAATACTCAATAAAATTCTTGCAAACCGAATCCAAGAACACATCAAAACAATCATCCATCATGATCATGTAGGCTTTACCCCAGAAATGCAGGAATGGTTCAATATTCAGAAATCCATCAATGTAATCCACTATATAAATAAACTTAAAGAAAAAACCACATGATCATTTCGCTAGATGCTGAGAAAACATTTAACAAAGTTCAATATCCCTTCATGGTAAAAGTCCTGGAAAGATCAGGAATCCAAGGCCCATTTCTAAACATAGTAAAAGCAATATACAGCAAACCAGTAGCCAATATCAAACTAAATGGAGAGAAACATGAAGCAATTCCAGTAAGATCAGGGACTAGACAAGGCTGCCCACTGTCACCTTACCTATTCAATATAGTACTGGAAGTCTTAGCCAGAGCAATTAGACAGCAAAAGAAAGTCAAAGGGATACAAACAGGAAAGGAAGAAGTCAAAATTTCACTATTTTCGGATGATGTGGTAGTATACTTAAGTGACCCTAAAACTTCCATCAGAGAACTCCTAAACCTGATAAACAACTTCAGCAAAGTGGCTGGATATAAAACCAACTTAAACAAATCAGTAGCTTTCTTCTACTCAAAGGATAAACAGGCTGAGAAAGAAATTAGGGAAACAACACCCTTCACAATAGTCATAAATAATATAAAATGCCTTGGTGTGATTCTGACGAAGCAAGTGAAAGATCTGTATGACAAGAACTTCAAGTCTCTGAAGAAAGAAATCGAAGATCTCAGAAGATGGAAAGATCTCCCATGCTTGTTGATTGGCAGGATAAATACAGTAAAAATGGCCATCTTGCCAAAAGCAACCTACAGATTCAATGAAATCCCCATCAAAATTCCAAATCAATTCTTCATAGAGATAGAAAGAGCAATGTGCAAATTCATTTGGAATAACAAAAAACCCAGGATAATGAGAACTATTCCTCAGCAATAAAAGAACTTCTGGGGGAATCACCATCCCTGACCTCAAGCTGTACTACAAAGCAATAGTGATAAAAACTACATGGTATCGATACAGAGACAGGCAGGAAGATCAATGGAATAGAATTGAAGACCCAGAAATGAACCCACACACCTATGGTCACTTGATCTTTGACAAAGGAGCTAAAGCCGTCCAGTGGAAAAGGGACAGCATTTTCAACAAATGGTGCTGATTCAACTGGAGGTCAGCATGTAGAAGAATGAAAATCGACCCATTCTTATCTCCTTGTTCAAAGCTCAAGTCCAAGTGGATAAAAGACCTTCACATAAACCCAGATACACTGAAACTAATAGAAGACAAGGTGGGGAAGACCCCCGAATATCTAGGCATAGGGGAA